CTGAAAAAAAGACTCAGCATCTTTTCTCTGATATTCCTGCCATACGCTTCACAAATGTCAATGTCATGAAACACATAAAAAGACTCTTCCAGATTAAAGAAGACTAAGGAGATATAACAACTGAATGCAATGCATGTCTTGTATTATCTTTTGCTATAAAGAACATTATTGGGACAAATGGCAAAATCCAAATGAGATCTATAGATTAGATAAATGGCATCATATCAATGTTAATTTCCTGAGTTTGATAGTGGTACTATTGTTATAAGACAGTTTCTTGTTTTTAGGAAATACATAACAGAAGTATGTGGCAATAAAGAGGCATTATGCCAGCAACTTACTCTTAAATGGTTGAAAAAAAGTATATATTAACTGATATACAGATAAGGAAGAAGGGAGAAAGTAAGCAAGAGAGAAGATAAAGCAGATGTAGCAAAATGTTATCATTTAGAGAATCTGGATGCATTTTGTACTGGGAATTCTTTATACTATTATTGCAACACTTTCTGAAATTATATCAAATTAAAAATTTTTCTTAAAAGGTTAGGAAATAAAAAAGATATACCAAGGAAAAGTAACCAGAAAAGCCTGGTATTAACATTAAATAAACATTAAGGTAATAAGTATTATTAGTGTCCTGTTATATCCCAACTACCTAGAACAATGCCTGGCATATAGCCCATACTCGTAAAATACTTGCTTAATTAAGGAGTTAGCAATAAAGAGAGTTAATACATAACAATAAAAGCAACAATTACCAAGAAGATATATTAATTTTAAACTTGTATGCTTCTAGAAACATAACTTCAAAATACTGACAAATAGTTGACAAATACATTGACAGTAAGCATCAACTATAGATACTAACCACATATCAGGCAATAAATAAGTAAATAAAAACCTCAGCAAACTTTAAAGTACCAATTACACATAATCTACATCTACTAGTCACAATGCAATTAAATTAGAAAAGAATGACCATAGAATAAAAAATCCATACATTTCAAAATGTTAAGGTGTACTTCCAAATAACACATGGATCAAAAAAGAAATCACAATGAAACACAGAACTTAGAAAATGCTTAGAACTAAACAATAAGAAAAATACTAAATTTCAAGACTTATGGGAAGAAGCTGAAGTGATTTTTAGAGGGAAATTTATAGGCTTAAATGCTTTTATGAGAAAATTTAAAAGACTGAAAACTAATATACAAAATATCCAACACAAAACTTGAGAAAGAACAAGATAAAACAAAAGACATACAATTGTTGGTAATATTAGTTCCTATTATTTTGGGGATATCTGAAATGTTTCAGGATTTTTTTTTTAGTTTTATTAATTTTTTGCTTTAAAATTTTTTATTATTAATTTTAATAATAAAAAAATGTTGTGGGTACATAGTAGGTATAGGTATTTATAGGGTACATGAGATGTTTTGATAGAGGCATGCAACGTGTAATAAGCACACCATGGACAATGGGGTATCCATCCCCTCAAGCATTTATCTTTTGAATTACAAACAATCCACTTACATTATTTTAAAATATACAATTAATTTATTATTGACTATAGTCACCCTATTGTGCTATCAAATGGTAGGTTTTATTCATTCTTTCCATTTTTTTGTACCCATTAACCATCTCCACCTCCCCTCAACACCCCACTACCTTTCTCAGCCTCTGATAACCATCCTCCTACCTCTGTATCTATGAGTTCAATTGATTTGATTTTTAGATCCCACAAATAAGTGATAACATGCGATGTGTGTCTTTCCATTCCTGGCTTATCTCGCTTAACGTGATCTCCAGTTCATTCATGTTGTGGCAAATGACTGGATCCCATCCTTTTTTATGGCTGATTACTACTCCACTGTGTATATGTACCACATTTTCTTTATCCATTCATCTGTTGATGGATACTTAGGTTGTTCCCAAATCTTAGCTATTGCAAACAGTGCTGCAACAAACACAGGAGTGCAGATTATCTCTTCCATATACTGACTTCCTTTCTTTTGGGAATATACGCAACAGTAGGACTGCTGGATCGTATGGTAGCACAATTTTTAGTTTTCTTAGGAACCTCTAAACTGTTTTCCACAGTGGTTGTACTAATTTACATTCCCACCAACAATATACAAGGGTTCCCTTTTCTCCACATTCCTGCCAGCATTTGTTATTGCCTGTCTTTTGAATATAAGACACTTCATAATTTTTAAAGACAAAGATGCCATACAAACTAAAAATATTTGGTTTGAAATTTATAAAATTTCAAAAACAAAGATTGGTAAATAAACAAACAAGCAATAATTTTTCTACATCAAAAACATCATAGAACGTTTCTCTTCAAGAAGGCAAATAGGTTGCATTTGTTTCACCTTCTTTCCAAGATTCAATGGGTGAAGCAATAAAAATACGCACAAATGAGTACATTCATGAAAATCCTAACAAAAGAGTTATCATTAACTGACCAACACTTCTGATTAATTTCAGGCAGTTGAAAAGCTGATGGAACCTTACTGGAGATAACCCTGGGCAGGAAGAACTGCAGCTCAGAACTGCAAGAGAGATGTTGTACTCAAAGGCAGCAATTCTTTCTGATTGAATGCCATCTTACTCCATGCTGGGTCAGTGCATACAATGAACAAGCATGGACTATGGTGAACTGTGCTGAATCAAGTAGGTGTATAATTAAAGATCTGTCTACTCAACAGCTATTTTTAGAATACCAACAAACCCACCCACTCCCACTCCTGTCATGAATATAAACATGTACAGAGCAGCTGGCTGAAGAAATCCTCAGCTAGAGCCTAAGCCAAACAAAATAGAGTATTTGTCAAAAAAGGATGGAAAGTGTGGGTGTTTTATCTATAGAGATGATTAACCACCTCTACATAAGAATCAGAGGGAAAAAAGAAATGGCAGTTTCACCTGGCACAAATGAAAACAAAGTCTTTCTACCTCCGAAAGTAAAGTCTTATTTTGGCAGTCACTGAGTGAGTCTGCCTTTTCCCTTTCACTTACACTAAAAGGAAATTCACAAATGTGTGGGATTCAAGAACTTACACAAATCTAGCGATCATTCTAGAGCGAGATCTTATGGTTAAAAAGATCTACTCAACTGCACAGGATACCCAGATACTCCTTAACATGGTCCTTCATTTAAAGATTACCAGCTACTGAGGAAAATCAAAACCATGAAAGAAAAAAAAGCAAAAAGAGTAAGTGTGGTGACTGATCCTGGAAAAAAAAATGATGGAAAAAAAAGTATCTTCAGATTTTAAAGTCCCTTGAATATTTTAAGAAAGAGATGCTTTGAAAAAGAAATAAGAGTTGGATGAAGTTTATTTATCCATATATTTCACAATATATGGATATAGTAAATTTGATATATAGCAAATGACTGTAATTAATATGCATGATACTTATTGTCTTTTTAACTTTTAGAAATTAATACAATTTCCTCTTCCATAAGTTGTTTACTGCTGCCTAAACTATAACAGTAGTGATTAAACCTAATACTCAACGGAAAATTCAGTCAGCAATTTCCTGAATATGCATTATGCACTTTCCAAACGAAAGCCAAAATATAGGCAGGAATATGCTAGGGCCAGTAGTTTCCTGTTCCCTACTCTAACAAAGCGTTTTGGAATCTTACCAGACCCAAGGTCCTAAGGACAAATTAAGTCCTGACTGAGCAGTTCTTGGAGATTTAGCAACGTAATAGGTTATCCCAATCTGAATGTCTTTTAAATAAACAGTCCAGTTCCAGTATTATATCTAATCTGGGAAGAGCTCGACAGAAAGTAGAAGTTCTGGAATAAATCTGTATCTTGGATAGCATACTAAAATTGTCCTAACCTTCTAGAAGAGATGAGCATTACCTGACTCATATTTTCTGGGAAACCTTCAAAATAAAACCAATCTGTACTATGAGACCTATAAATAAGGTATCATCTGTCCCCCAGCCTTTTCAAGTGTACCATTTACAGTACACTTAATTCTTTACAAGGGGACTCAATGTTGAAAGAGTTAAGAGTTATATTGTGTCTTTCAAAGTGCATAAATGATACCAGAGAGGACCTAATGCAGTTTTTCTATAGCATTTAAACAAATGAAACTTCTTAAAAGAGCAAATAATGTTCCTCATTACCTGTATCATATCACAAAGCAGAACAGTTATATTTCTAATGCTCTTCACATATGTACAAATATAAAATATCTCAGCATCAAGCTTCTATTTAGTTGCTGACCTTCAGCAAAATCATAAATTTGACCAAGTTCATCTCAGAGTTCCAGAATTCCCTTTCCATAGTTTTGCCCCCACAATCGAACTCTTTTTCCTCCTGCTCATATGCCAGTTCTCTACCATATTCATGTCTTTTTTCAGAGTCAATAAACCAAAAACACCCTAGAGTCAAACTGGTCCAATGTCCTCATTTTAGAAAAAGCTAAACTGAGGCCATGAGAGTTGTGATTTACCCAAGATCACACAGCTAATGAGGGAAGAAGCTAAGACCAGAATTAGGCCTCTGATGCCCTATGCAATGTTTTTCCCACCATACCAAGCTGCCTCTTTAAAAACTGCAAAGCATACAATACTTATGTGTATCTTCACAACTCTCAAACTCACGTCTCTGTGCCTTTTCCCTCTTGGTACAATAATTTCTCAACTTTCAGTCACTAGTAACCCTCTTTCTTATTAATTCTATACCCAAGACAAAACAGGAAAGGATTTACTACTCATTTACACCAAATGATTCATTTTCTGATAATACTTCTATTGTGTTTCTAACATTATATTTATTCTTTAAAATGGAAAATACCTCAATACCTCCCAAATCAACATATTACAGAGCTTAATAATTACATCCACAATTTAAATTCAGAAAAAAACTAAATAACCGCAGATTCTTACTTTGCAGAAAGTCATATTACAGCATTTGTTTCAATTCTTTGAAAAAAAGCCACAAAGTACATATCAATTCCATTTTAATACTCACCACAAAAGTGATTTGATTGTGTCGCAAGTTCAGTTCAGTTAATGAATCCAGCCCATTAAGATTATCAACGTGACTTAAAAAGTTCCTAGCAAGATTTAAAACTCTCAACTCACACAAATGATTAATATTTTCAATTTTGGTAATCTGTTAAAAAAAATAGGAGAAGGATGATTAGCAGGCAAAAGCCTAAAATACACATCTTCTAAAAACCCTAAAAATAAAATATTCAAAGTCACTGGATTCAGTGGTAAGTTTATATGTAGACATTTAAACATCTATTTTCAATTTCCTATGTTGTAGATAACATGAAGTCACGTAACTTGTGAACATTAGCTAAAAGATCATATTTTACAATTTGACCATAGTAAACACTTGAAGTAAATGTCATCAAATAATCAATTAGTCCATTGGGCAACTTTAAGTGCCCAATCTGTCCCAGGTTCTGTGCAGGCTACATAGTACCTGGCAAATAGAAACATACTGTAATCCCAAGGCATAAGCTCATCATGTTTTAATAAAGCAAGTCTGGCCTCTGACAGAAAAGGCAAGGGAAAGGAATGACATCAAGTTACCCTTGTTAATTCTATTTAAACTGCAAGATCTTGAGAGCAGTCAAGTCTGAATGGAAAGGGTCAAGGAACTAGGATTCCCAGTAGAAGATGAGGGTAATTATTTTTAATTAATTGAAAGCTGCTACATTAATAAAGACAGAAAATATTTAGTGAGGGTACAAAATGGTGAACACTGTTTAAAACAAGAGGACTTGAATCATGGAATATGCATGTGCATATAATGTTACGGGATCTTTGGGGTGTCATTTTTCTGACCAGAAACCTCTGTGGCCAACGGCACCTTTCCCCGAGTTTTGTTCTGGCCCACTGAGCTCATTTCACCTAACCGCCCTGGCAGGCTGCACTCAGCTCATGCTTCTGGCCTGGGTCCCATGTCTGCTAAGGGCAAGTCAGGTGTGGAACTGCGAACGGAGTGAGTGAGCGTGGGATCTGGCCACTGTGCACAGTCAGACATGCTGGCTGCTATGGCGGGGTAGGCAGCTCCAGGTGCTGACACGGGCACCAGCTCTCTGCGAGGCTGCGGCTGGACCAGGAACACTGCAAACAGCTTTCACAGCTGGCACTGAGGAACACGGTGATACCCAGAAGCTTGGATATGCGAGGAACCTCAGGGTCCCAAAGAGGGAGTCACAGCCCTGGTTTGGGGAGCTCCCAAGTCCAGGTGACCCAAAGGGCCACAGTTTCCTTCTCTTTGCCTGCAACATGGCGAGCGAGGGGCATGTCTCAGCCCTGTTGTGTTATAGCTCTTTTAGCCTCACCATTCTGTGGGTCCCAAATTCTGTGGGTCCCAGGTTCTTGTCCTGCGACCAGGAAGAATGAGGTATACAACAAGTGGAGGGTTAGCAAGACAAACAGGAGCTTTCTTAAGTGATAGAAGAGCTCAGAGGAAACCCACAGGGATCAGCTCCTTTCCACAGCCAGGGTGTTCTGATGAGTGTTCAGCTCCTAGCAGAGAGGGTGGCTCCTCTCTACCAAGGAAGTCATCTTGACAAATGTTCAGCTATCAGCAGAAAGGGCAGCCCCTCTTTGCAACTGGTTATCCCACCATCCCTGCAGCTGTCAGCAGAGAGGAGGCCCTAGAGTACTTTGCTCCTCTCTACAGCTAGTTATGCCAATGTCTACTCAGCACCGGCTGAGTCTGGGGCTTTTATGGGCTTCAGGGTAGAGGAAGTGTGTGCTGATTGGTCCATGGGCAGTCATTGGCAGGCCCAGAAAAGGTACCACAAGTTCCCACTCCAGTCAGTGGGACTGGCGGCCTGGCCTGAAGGTGGGGAGTCACCAGGGACCTGCCCGCTTCTGCTCAGGAAACTGTCTGCCTCCTGCTGCTGTTCATGGTGCCCAGGCTATAGGTATGAAGGGGCACCTGCAGGCCAGCACCTAGCTGTCCTCAGCCCCCCTCGGATTCCCTTCTATGCTTGTTGGTGCCAAAAATTCAAAGGGAGCTAAGGTGACAAAGGGCTGGTGTGTAAACACTGCCCCAAGCATCTGCATACTTGGCCAGGCTGCCACAGCATCCAGGATTAACCACAACTTTGCTCTGAGATTGGAGCAGGCACTGACAGGGAGAATCCAGACAGCAGAAGCAGACACTTCAGAACCTGTTGGGAGAGCAGCGGTGGAGCCTCCTGGGTCCCCAAGAGTGCAGAGATGCCTGGGTCCACGGCTGCAGTTTGGGAGGCTGCAGCTGTACCCAGGAGGGCAAGGCTCCTGCCTGCTTCCTGGCCCCAACAGCACAGGGATGCCCAGGTCTGCAGCCGTGGCTTGGGTGGCTGTAGCAGCACCCAGGGAGCTCCTGACCCAACTCGGAAGGGGTGGGGCTCCCACTTGTCCCCAGCTCCCGCTGGCTCCATGGAGCCTGCAGCCCCGGCCACGCCTCCCTGCTGCAGCTGGCCTGATGGCAGCAGCCACTCCAGATGGCCTGCTGCTGCCATTAATAATCAGCACTGAGGCCAGGCAGGGTGGCTGACACCTGTAATCCCAGCACTTTGGGAGGCTGAGGTGGGTGGATCACTTGAGGTCAGGAGTTTGAGACCAGCCTGACTAACATGGTGAAACCCCGTCTCTACTAAAAATACAAAAATTAGCCAGGCACGGTGGCATGTGCCTGTAATCCCAGCTACTCAGGAGGCTGAGGTAAGAGAATCACTTGAACCCAGGAGGCAGAGGTTGCAGTGAGCCAAGATCACGCCACTGCACTCCAGCCTGGGCGACAGAGCGAAACTCCATCTAAAAAATAATAATAATAAAAAATAATAATCAGCTCTGAACTGCAGCAGAGAAGTTTGAACTGCACACTAAGGAGAGGGTAAGTAAAAACTAACACTGTGAAGTGATGAGAGCTCAAAGTGATGTTAAGCTCCACTATTATAAAAGAGCAAGTATAGCACAATGGGATGAGTTACTGCGTGACACAAGATAGAAGTCCTCATGGAGGACTTCATCAACCTGATGAACATTAAAATGAATTTCACCGTCACTGGAGATTAATTTGCTCATTTGTATTACCATCACAGTATATTTGAAATATTTTCACTAACACTTCAAAGCAGATGTTAGCTAAAATAACTTTTCTCAGACGTCTAATCTATATTTCACATTGTTATTGGGACACTCTTATATTCAAGAAACACCATCTAGGTTCCATCCAGTTTCCAGAAAAGAAACGTTTATTATAAATTCAATAATATATAAAAGTAACCTGTGACCACATTTAAAATGTGTTCTAAGATTTTTGATTTAACTAATGTAAAATAAGATAAAATTATATAAAATTTGAAAAAGAAGAAACAAGATTATCAGTATTTACAGATTATAAAACTGTATAATAAGACATGGAGTAACACATTTTAAAACTAAACAGGTGATAGAATTCAAAATGCAAGAAGCCAGTAAAAAGCAAAATAGATACCATAGAAAAAGAAATCAGTAATGTCAGTACAAGCTTAGAAATCTTCCCAAAATGCTAAGGAAAAACAGAGAGGAAGAATAAAAGATAAGATGGAGAGATGGAAGACAAACAATATAGATATAACAAACATAAATGGAAAAGAAGGAGTGTTTAAATATAGAAAACTTTCCTGAGCTCAAGAAATATATAAATATATAGAGTTATGGGGGACAATTGTTGTATGATCTGCATGGTGTGTTTTCTCCCTTCTGCTAATAGTTCTGGACATTTCTTTTAGAAAACTACCCTTCCACATGGTCCTGGTGGGGTTTACAATTAGAATGCCTGCATTTAGTTACCTTCTAGTTAGAAAAGTCTGAAAAGAAACATGGTTAATTCCTGTATATAGACCCATATTTTAAAAATCACTAAGAATATTATTTGGCTTCCTGGTTTAAAACCCAACAGGCCAGAATCATGTACAACATCTGCTATGGAATAAGGTCAATTACTTGTTACAACCATGGACAAAGTCACAAGCATAAAGCAGATAATAGAAGCTTCAGGCAAAGGGTTGTATAAAGTGACAGCATAGGTCTTGATTGATTGATATACTTCGCAGCAAGAAAAAAGATGATGGGAATGTTGGAAAGCCCATTTATGGGTCATACGGATCAGATAGAGTCCCAATATAGACTGCAGGGCTGCTTAACACATCTAGGAAAGCTGTATACTCCAGTATTAACCTTTGTGTATGAGAGTAACCTAGATTGCTCTGCCTGGATAAAGATAACCTTCCCCCCTAGCAATATAGAAAGGGCAAGTGTTTGCTTTCAGGTAAGCAGCCACAGAAATAGCAGGCTCTCCCTAGAGGAAAAGATACCACTGAAAGAACAGATTCTTCTTGAAGTACATCTGTGTCTATGTTAAAGCAAAAATTCACTGAGAGAAAAAATTACAGTTAACCAACACAAGATCTAGGTTAGAAACTCCTAGTCAACCTCCTAGATCCCTCTGTATTCACTACTCACATACAATTAATTGCTAAGTCTTGATGTTTCTACTTTTTAAATATTTATCCAGTCTGCCCCCTTATCATATCCTTATTGCTACTACTTTAGTTCATACCACCATCAGTCTCACCAAGATTATTATAATTAGTTTCTCTCAACTATTCTGTCTCCATTTCCCCTCCTTCCGTCTCTACTTCCCACTCCATTTCCTGAACACCACCATCATTACTCAGAATGATTTCACATCCATAAACCAATTATGTTTTATTTCACAGTGTGCACCAAGCATATTTTTATTTCCAATAGAAGTAAATTCAGAAGACAATAAACATTCACTTAATGTCTTTTAGCTTTTTTACTATAAGATGCTGAATTTTTAGAATTGGACATTAGTTATTTCATCAAGAATAGTTCCTTCCTGGCTTTTTAGAAACCTAAGGTCACTAAGACTGTATCTCTGCTTTGAAATACTGTGAATTTTTGCTTATTGGATTCATATATTATGAAACAAGACTCAGATTTCATTTAAAACTTCCTTCTTCCAGTTATAGAACATTTGTACTGCACAAATTACTTCTCAAGGTTCTTCCAGTTATAGAACTTGAGAAGTAATTTGTGCAGTACAAATGTTTAATACACACAATATCACAAACATACACTGAAATTATAAAATACATAACACAGGTCAGCTAACAAGGAACAGACATTTTGCGTCAACACAATGATTGGTAACTAATGCCTATACATAAGGTACAGATGAAATGATATGGTATTCTTTGTCAAGTGCTCTTGAAGATCTTGGGTAGTACTCACAAATTCTTAAAGATATATTAGAATTTGAAAATCATATGTTTATTATTGCTCATATATACACTTTAAAATAAACAAGAAAAATACTGCTATCATAAAATGTTTCATTTATAAACAGTTTTTAAAATAGAGGATAAAACACCAATTCATTTGCCTGGCATACAAAGCCCTCCACAATCTAGCCATTGCCTACCTTTCTAGTCTCTTCTCTCAACATCCTTCCACACATGCTCTGTTCTCTGGTGGTAAATACTTATGGTGTTGTTTTCCATCTCAGTGCCTTTGCATATGATATTCTTTTACTGTCAATACTCTTTAATTCCCCTTCCCCTTCCACCACCATCTAACCGAATAACTTCTCCTCTATTGGACAGACAGTAACTAACCTGCAGAGCCAGACAATTCCCAGGCCATCATCATTCCTCCCACTCACTACACGCACACACAGACAAACACATGAGGCTGGAACTAGATTCGAACCTAATAGATGTGGCCTATTAAATCTATCAAGGTTTTTATTAATTACGTTAGCTTTTCACCAAAACTACCGAAACTAACAGCTGTTAGAAAGCCTAGACGGATCACACTGAGGTTTGCACCTGACCAACTGTAAGCAGCTGTGAAAGACCTTGTTCATCAACAGGAAGGGATTCCCAGATCATCCCAGGATGTAGGCTTATCACTGCAGAAGAGACTTTACATTCCGCATGAGTATGTAGCTCATGTAACTATTTATAAATATTACATTTCTTTTTTTCTTTTTTTTTTTTTCAAGATGGAGTCAGGCTCTATCGCCCAGGTTGGAGTGCATTGGCGCGATCTCGGCTCACTGCAAGCTCCGCCTCCCGGGTTCACGCCATTCTCCTGCCTCAGCCTCCGGAGCAGATGGGACTATAGGCGCCCGCCACCACGCCCGGCTAATTTTTTGGCTAATTTTTTGTATTTTTTAGTAGAGACGGGGTTTCACCGTGTTAGCCAGGATGGTCTCGATCTCCTGACTTCGTGATCCTCCCACCTCGGCCATAAATAATACATTTCAAAGACAAAAATTTAAATGGATGAGCAAAGGACTGAAAAACAGCCAATATGATCTGACAGAGAAGAATAAAGAGAGGGAACATAAAAAATAGATATAGAAATTCAGACAGATACAGGAGTAGACAAACTGAACAAATTGGGAGCCTAGATTATATAGTAATCAGGAAAATATAAATCAAAACCACAACGTGATACCACTTTATACCAATTCAATCAGAAAAAAATTAAGAAGTCTGACAAGTCCAAATGTTGAAAAGAATAGGAAGCAACAGGATTATGTATTAGTGGTATGAGTACCAACTGGTACAATCCCTCTAGAAAGCAATTTGGCATTATCTTCCAAATTTAAACATTTAAATAGCCTATGACTCATCAGTTTCACTCCTATATACTCTAGAGTACATATGGAACATGTAGAAGAGGAGACATGTACAAGAAAGTTCGTAGAAGTACTGTTCATAATGGCAAAAAAACAAGATAAAACAAACGACAACAACAAAAACAGGAAACAACCCAAATGTCTATCAATAAGACACTGAAGCCAAAAGGTTTTGTATAGTCTTACCATGGAACATATAACTATAAATAAAACTATAGCTACTTGAAATAGTTAAATCTCAGTAATATAATGCTGTATTCAAAAAGCAAACACTAGATGAAAACATATAGTATACCTTTTTTAAGTTAAGAGACAATACTACTAAAGAATATATTATTTAGACACACCTATATGTGACAAAACCAACTGAAAAACCCACAAAGGAATGAAAAACATGAAATCTAGAATAGTGGTTACCTGTGATGCAGAAGTAAGGAGATGGAATTAAAAAAGAAATACCTAAGTAGACGAAAGTCAGTAATATTCTAGGTCTTGGATTGAGGTTGCAAAATGTGTACTTTAAAAATAAGTTAATAAAAAACAAAATTGTCATAACTATAAGAATTCCAAATGTTTTATAAGCTGTATCTGTCATTTACTGCTGAGGAGTTACCAAATCTTCTACAAATAACCTTGATGCCTTAGAAATTTCAGTGAATCAATAAAGAAACTCTTGAAAAATTCAATGCAAGTATGATTCTTAAAACTTTTATACCATTTTCCTGAACTTTTTTTCAAAAAAGAGAAATGAAAGGGCTTTACAATACCTGATTTCCATGAAGATCCAAGACATCTAAGCTTTTTAGATTCTCCAGATTTGAGATTTTCTTGATTCTGAAAACCAGAATAAGTAGAATAGAAATATGGATGTATCACATCTATCTGTAAATCAAAGTATGCTAAGGCGTAAAGGTGTAACTCATTTTAATTTACTCTATCTACATATATAGTTATATATGTTTAACAATAATATATTTCTCTCTGATTTATTATAATTTTTAAAAATGCAATACCACTCAAGAGAAAGAGAGTTTAAATGTCATCATTAGAAAAGAACAATCCTATGTCTAAGAACCTTAAGTCAATGCACTTATTCAAGGCAGTTCTTCACATTAGAATATAATCTAAACTCCTTACTTCTGCCTACAAGGCACTAACCTGTCTGCTGACTCTTCCGCCAGCCTTATCTCCTACCACAGGCTCACTCACTCACTCTGCTCCAGCGACAGAGGCATTCTTGCTGTACCTCTAACCTGACAAGTACATTTCTACCTGAGGGTATTTATTCTTTCTGTTCCTACTCCCCTGATGTTCTTCCCTCAAAACTTCACTTTATTCAGGTCTCAGATCAAACAACTCTTCAAAGATGCTTCCAGATGACCCTATTTAAAATAGTTTTCCCTTCCTGTCCCCATTACACTGTTTCCTTTCCCTGCTTTGACTTCACAGAATTGATCATAGCCTAAAAATATATTATTTTGTGTTTACATTTTTAAAAAATCTCTTGCCAAATCAAAATGTGAGCTTTAAGAGGACATTCTGACATGTTCTCTACTCTATCCCCAGCACTTATAACAGTGCCTAGTGCCAAGTAGGTACCCAAAAAATATTTGTTTAGTGAATGAACGAACATACTAACTAAATGAATAAGTTGTATGCACAAGGGTATTCATAACAGGATTCTTTATGACAGAGACAAATTGCATACCACCTAAGTGCTTTCTACTGGGATCTGCTCAGTTTGTAAAATGCTTATATTTATTTGAAATTTTTGATATGCCAGATGAGAACAATGGTAAAAAAAGAACAAAAAATGAAGTTCATACAACCCATCTTTATCACCATATATTTATCACCATCGATTTTTGTTGTCCTTGTTTACTGCCTCAAAGAACCATTTCCACCTCTCTAAGTGTTTTCAGAACTTGGATCATCCACTGAATAATATATATGTTATCTATACATAGTGTGTATATATGTGAGATATATATAGTGTGTATGTATATACATACATACTGATCATTACCATGTAAACATCATGCAGACTTAAACTTAATTAATTTCTGTCTGCACTTGATCTCAGTTATCTTATATCATTGCCAAATCAAGAATTATATTACAAGCCAATTCAATCCAATTCAATTTATAAAAATATTTCTCATATGCTCACCATGTATCATCATTGTGTAGCTGTAGATCTTCCTCACTCCCTTATCACACACACACACCACACTGCCTTATGACCACCACCTCCTCATCAGTCTCCTCTCACATCATCACCCTGACAGAATCTGTACCCTACCCCCTGAACACTCCTACCTCACTTCGTCCAAACCATCAGCATTCTTCCAGACTCACTGGACTCTTTCACTAGCCTTCACCTAGTGCCAGGCAATTAATACTATCCTGTCTAGAATTTAAATCTCTCAAATAGCTAAATTAATAGCCCAACCAGATAGGAAAACAGGTACAACCTTCTTTTTTTTTTTTCTTCTTTTTTTTTCTTTTTTTGAGATGGAGTCTCGCTCTGTCACCAGGCTGGAGTGCAGTGGCACAATCTCGGCTCACTGCAACCTCCACCTCCCAGGTTAAAGTGATTCTCCTGCCTCAGCCTCCCGAATAGCTACAACCACACGTGCACGCCACTATGCCCAGCTAATTGTTGTATTTTTAGTAGAGACAGGGTTTCACCATGTTGGCCAGGGTGGTCTTGATCTCTTGACCTGGTGGTCCACCCACCTCGCCCTCCCAAAGTGCTGGGATTCCAGGCATAAGCCACCACACCCGGCCCAGGTACAACTTTCAACACAACTTTTCCTCTCCCTGCTTTGCTCCTGAAATACCTAAAACAGTTGCAGAAAATTATAGTACCCTAATCATATGGCTTAGGACAGAGCCAGGCGTTCTAATAGTAACCTGACCTCATAGCTATTAGAGAAGCCTTTTATTCCATTCCTTTATACTTCGAAGTTCACATTCCCTAAAACAGTGGTTCTCAAATTTCTGGATTTATCAGAATCACCTGGAGTGCCTGTAAAAACACTGTTTATTAGTTTCTCTTACTCTCCTTTGAACCAGCTTTGTCATCCTGCTGGTTCCCACATTATTGAATTAATTAAAATGCTGGCCTGTGATTACTATTTGTCTGAGAATTATATTTTTAACACTTTGAAAATTATACATCAGGGATAATAGAGATTATATCAGCCCAAAGTTCTCTGATTTGAAGAACCAATGTAGTCTGTTTCTGTCTTTATCAGAAATCCTGAGCACCTTTAATGCCCTTCAATCAGAGAAACCATCATGTGCAGTATGTATTCCCTCAGAATTCCACCAGGGCCTCACATATTCACTCCCTATCTGTTGTGACTGCAACTTCCTTTGCAAAATTGAGAAATCTAACATAACTGACTCCATCTTGCTTCTAGTCATACAAGCTGTCTTTGTTCATTCCTGCACATAGGCCAAGCTAACTATGGGAAAAAATTTAGTTTACAGTTTAACTTTAAACCAAGGATCATAATACTCCCTTCCTGAAACTAACCTCATCTTCGTTCAGGAACCAAAAACATCTTCATAAAACTAATGAAAGACCACAAGGTTAGAATTATGTTAGGGGCCTGAATTCTGCTAAGACTGAGGCATAATTAAATGATAACCAGTCATTGTTTTCTAACCTGCCTTTTTGTAATTGCTTACTGCTCAGGAATCACGGAGCCAATGGTAATAAGATTTGTGACTTCCCCAATTTCCCCTATAGATAACATTGTTAATGAAACCTAAGACTGGTATTTGAGGTATTTTTCAGATATATTTTCAGATTCTGGTAGACCAACTGATACCACCCAGACTGGTGATTTCCACTCAGGAACTGACTCAGTGCAAGAAGACAGATTCAACACCCCTGTGATTCCATCCCCAATCCAACCAATAAGCAGAACCCATATTCCCTAGCCTCCTGCCTGCCAGACAAGCCTTGACAATCCTAGTCTCCAAATTCTTAGGGAGGCAGATTTGAGAAATATCTCCTCCTCCATCCTGCTCACTTGACTGCCTTGTGATTATTAAATTCTTACTCAGTTGCAACACCTGCTGTCTCAGTATATTGGCTTTTCTGTGCAGCAGGCAAGAACCACCCACTGGGCTATAACATGACTTCTGGTATTAGTTTAGCTTTGACACATAGCTGCTTTATGACTCTCACATCAGATTTGGATCACCCAGATGAACAGGAAGAAAAACAGACAAGTCGTTCAATCAGTTAAACCCAAGACCAACCAAACATCTTGCTTTCTTGTTCTCATGAGTTGCCTTTGCCATAAATTCTCTTCCCACCCCCAAACACCTGAAATGACCTAAAAACGTACCCAATTCTAAAGAATTCAGAGGTAAACGAAGGCATCAGTTGACCTAGAAGGCCCCCACTGGTCAGATTATGTATTGATGTGAGGAATTTGCAGAATCCTAGCCAGTGCCCCCATATTTGACCATTTTTACATTAACACCAATGTGACCTGAAAGATTTATTTAAAAAAGAAGCTCTTCCATTGAATAGAAACTGAAACTAGAAAAAGATGAGGCCCACCCATCACCTGAGACCTCTAGGGATATATCACAGCCTGTCTCTGCAGGCCACATTATGTTACCGATGCCAGGATAAAGACCTCACTACAGGACCTATAAGAAGGCTCAGCTTTTCAGGTGTCAGAAACAAATCCTTAAGTGTGAAACTTCAAGGAGTCAAAAGGAAAGAAACAGAGAATCCCAGGTTCTAACAGAGAGTTTTGATCTCTAATCCTGTGTGATCAGAAGAAAATGCAGAGAAGTTCTCTGCATTCGCCTGTAATGACAAGGGTGGCAGAGGACCTGGAGAGGATAAGCAGGAGATACTGAAGGCAGAACAATTAGAGAACAAGAACTTTGACAGCAATGTGGGGTTGGGAGTTCTTTAGTATCAATGGAAACCTCACATACAGAACCTGAGCAAGGTTCTTTCTTAGCTTTAGAGTAGAAATCTTTGTTGGAGTTGCCTGAACCCAGAGGCACGTGATTGCCCTGGATTTCCATATATGGTTCCACTGCCTTGGACCAAAAGACAATGCAGAGTAATGTGGAAAGGAGAAAGCTTTCTGAAGTTGACCAGCAGGAAGCAACAAATCATCTAACACAAACGCATGAAGAGACAGGGTAGCAGATGTACTTCCCTCTTTACCAGCATCCTCAGCCAGGTTTGCCTAACATTCACATGATAGATTTCCATCTTCACAGCTCAAAGGCCTCTTGCTGTGACAAAGTCAGCTGGCTGGAGAGCACTTGGCATTTGTTTTAGGTATCAGACTTGCATTTTACTGACACTTCAAAAACATGCAATAGGGGAAAATATGGAAAGTTTTCTTCTGACTCATTTTCTTTTTGATTCAAGAACACTAATAGTTCTAGAACTGTTCAATAGCTACTCCTTTATGTGAAAAATAAAATAAGATTAAAACCAAACGAATAACAAATAAAAAAGATGGAAGAGTAGAAAGAGGAAGAAGAGACAGCATTAGATTGCTTTTACTTCACTAACATAATGATATAGTAGAAAGGCATTAAGTCTCTTAGAGTTGAAAGAACAAAAAGACCTTAAATAAAATCAGAAGCTCAGATAGACTGGTGGCTTCAAGGCACAAGTTATCAAAAATGACAACTTAAAGGGTTAATTCTAAGAAGCCAGAGAAGCGGAAAAGTATAAATAGAAAGATAGATCAGATGGAAAGATGACTTAAAATGGTAGGAACCAGGAGCAGCGCTTAAATACTAGAGAAAGTGATTTTAAATATCACTAAAAATATTAATTCAAGGACTAGAAGAAGGGAATAATGACAATGGTATTAAAGAATAATTATAAGCGAGGCAAAGAAATCAGTAACTCTGAGGATCAGAAACTAGTAAAGAAATCTGGGCAAGAGAATAGGAAACACCTAGGCAAGAGAATAGGGAGACTAGGGAATGCCTTAAATGTATGAAAAATGAACTTCCCTTCTCACCTTACTCAGTGAACTGCTCTGGTGGCATACCCTTATTGTATAGACTTTGTATATATCTAACTTTGCAAAAGTCACTTTGCCTTTCCATTTCTCCATCTGTAAAAAGAGGAAGCTACTCTCTGAAGTCACTTCAAGCTCTAATACGCTATGATTCTATAATCTCCCTGCTATGATTTGAATATCTGACCCCACCGAACATCATGTTAAAATTTGACCCCCAATGGGTTGCCTAATAGCAACATAAACAGACTAAGATATGCTCCAAATTTGCTCAGACTACATAACGCTTAGCTTAACACTTGAACTAATTATGGGTAATAAACTACACTGATAGGAGCCTTCATAGAAACTATGGAGGACAAAAAAGAGACTAGAACTCTGGGACATGATATTGGGAAAACTATCTTATATTATCATTGGGTAGTAAGAATAAAGACAGCCAAGGCTCAATACACAACACCCCAAACTATGGCACATTGGCATACTGAGTAATTTAAGCTGAAGGAAATTGAGAAAATCATATAAGGAGGAAGCTCAGGCTGGGTGTGATGGCTCACGCCTGTAATACCAGCACTTTGGGAGGCCAAGGCTGGCAGATCACAAGGTCAAGAAATCGAGACCATTCTGGCCAACACAATGAAACCTTGTCTCTACTAAATATATAAAAATTAGCTGGGCGTGGTGGCACACGCCTATAGTCCCAGGTACTCGCTACTCAGGAGGCTGAGGCAGGAGAATCACTTGAACCCGGGAGGCAGAGGTTGCAGTGAGCCAAGATGGCGCCACTGTCCTCCAGCCTGGTGACAGTGTGAGACTCCATCTCAAAAAAAAAAAAAAAAAGGAGGAAGCTCACTCTCTGACCTTCTCCCACCTTTCTTCCCTAAGGCCATAAAAGGAATTCTCTGATCTACCTACCCTACCTTAAATTTAAGATACCTTTCCTAAGCTCACTCTGTGAGCTTCTCTCACCTTTCTCCCCTGAGGCCATAAAAAGAATTCTCTGATCTATCTTCCAGATAGATAGAAGTATCTGATCTATCCCTTCCCTTTGTGGGTATAGGGCAGGAGTCCTCTGGAATGAGGGTCTTATGACCCTCATGAAAGGAAGCAATGGAAGTAAAATACATAATATACCCCAAAAAAGGGAATGAAGACACAGAGACACCAAGAAGAATCTGAACAAATAGACTTTGCTAAGTTCCCCCAGTTTATTACCATTAGCTCATACCTCCTTTTGCCCAATCATACTGTCCACTTGCTATCAAACCTAAGCATAAAAATACACAGTTTTCCCTGTTTTGGAGGATATTCATTTATGAGGGCTCTTGTGTCATGTAAAAGTTGTATTAAATAAATTGTTAATGCTTTTCTCTTGTTAATCTTTGTTATAGAGTGTCAGCCATGAACCTTGAGATGGGTGAGGAAAAGATATTACTTTTTTTTCCCTGCAAGGAGTAATCCAAGATCCATGCTACGGTGGGAGGCAGGGAAAGATGGGAGAGGAGAACCTAGCCTGGTTATGATACTATATCTAAACTTCTTCATTTGATAATATAAAAATCATTTTTGGATTTTACTATAAAGCCCTTCTTTGTAGGCATTGCAAAAGCTATTCAGTAAAATAGAATGAAAAGTAATGAATGAATCTCAAAGAACTAAGTCAAGAACTGTATAGTTGCACTACATAATAGAGTTGTATAAAAGGAACTGGGGAAGTTCATATAGGATGTAATGTTAGATACAAACTGAAACTACCATCTGAAAAAGAATCAATTCGTGATTTGATAATCACAAAGTATCGAGTGTCTACCCTTAGTCAAACACTGGGAAGAGTCACAAGTGAAATACATAAGCCTAAAGTGAATACACATGTTTAAAGTAAGTTCTAAGGAAACAAAATCAAGGCCAAAGCCTGCTATTTACTTCCCTATAAGATATGGCACTGAAAAGCAATGGAAGTAAAATACATAATAAATGTTACTTGGTGTGACAAATTGTCAAACTGAATCTCATGAAATGAATTATGACTGGATCTTAGTCCACTCAAATAATTCAAATAATTTTTAAAAATTTTTAGCCTATTCATTTCTTAAGTATTACTCAATTCTAAGTTGTCATCTCCACATTAATCCTACACATAACATTAGGTTACAAACAAACACTGCTCTACAAAGAATACCTGTTTTTCCCCAACAGAAGGACACGAAGGCATCTCAGAGTAGAAAGCCCACTGATTTCTTCAATCTGGTTATCATATAAATCCAACGATATTAACTTCTGTAGATTAGAAATATTTTGTATCCGAGTTATAAAATTGTGTTGAAAGTTCAACAAACGAAGGTGGTCTTCCCCATTGATGATAGGACATACGGTCAGCTTTTGTCTAGAAAAAAATGTTAAAAAGTTAATTAGGTTATGATTCAGCCACCTACCTCCTCTTACAAATATTAGTAGTAGTATCTTTGTGCTCTCATTCTGTGAGGAGAAAAAAATAAGTTGGACCACTTCCAACCCCCATGAACTAAGCGACCTATATTTAATTGCAAATCATTCACAAAAAAAAACCAATAGACTTTGACAGGGTTTATTATTAAAATTATGTCTAAGCTCTCATTATATTAAAAAACTCAAATATAATTTTTTCACATGAAATTGACTTAACATGAGAAAACATTCAACATAATTGTCTTTTGTGATAGAGGTTTAAATGACTGAATCTTGTCACATAACCAGACAAGTGCCCTTGGCATCAATCCACTGATGTAACAACTGCCCAGGCAACTAAGTCATCAGAGTTAAAAACATATAAAAGGGTCTCTCAGGGAATCATAGACTGTTGAGCTAGATGACATCTTCAAAAGAGCAAGAAATTCGGCCATCTACCGTTCGATTTGATTAAAAAGAAATTCATACTGAGATTTATTAATGGCAAAGTGGTCCTTAACATTTCCTCAGAAACTAAGATTTTACGTATACGTTTACATGCTCAACACTTTGAACTTTGCAGAACATTTAGAGTCCTACAGGGTAGGACGAAACCTTAAAAATATATGCTTTCAGCTGTATTTAAAACAGTAAGCCTCTATTATGCAAAATGTTGTAACGTATTACAGGTGAAGTAAGTAAGTTCAGGGCCCTTTAAGAATTCTAGTAGTAAAATAATAGGGGCAGACAGGAGGTCCTGCGTGATTTTAGTCTGAGAGGTCAAAAGGAGTCTTCAAGGAAAATACAGCTCTATCGGAGTGTGAACAACTCTAATATGGAAGTTTATTAGAAATACTCTCTTTCTGTAGAAATCAAGTTAATGTGAGCTTTAAAGAAAATAAATCAGAGTGTTACTAGCATAACTGAAACTATGAAAGTGATCAGAATCTTCCTGATAAAGAGAAAAAATAATGATTCGCAGAAAAAAAAAGTAACTGAAAGTTAATGGCTAACAAAGATATGATGTTTAAAAATATAGATTCTGAAGAAACCTGTTAAAGATAAAGAAAAAGAAAAGGAAATTTTGGGCAATAGTTTAATTCTTTTAATGTATGGTTAATTTTATAATTCATTTCATGTATTCAATTATTTTACCACAGAATATTTAAAATTCACTTATATATTCAATTATTTTATCACAATACTTTATCCAATTATTTTATCACAATATTTTATCCAACTATTTTATCACAACTGTGATAAATCAATAAATTTAGTATATAAATTATAAATTAATAAATTATAAGTATTCTACCTTAAAATTTGTATCTTTGTGCATCAGCTTAGCAAAAAATTGAAATCGTCTCACTTCTGCTTCAATCTTTTTCTTTTTCTCTTAAACTTACTGATATTCCCCAACTTCTATTTCATCCAATTCTTGAATCGGTCATCACTAAGATAGGAAAATAAATAACCTACAACCTCCCTCTTACATAAGCTACCATAGATTGAAATAAAGTCACTTTCTCTGATACTAAACACAGTGGTTAAGTCCCAGTGCCAAGGCTTACTTGTATACCACTTAACCCCACAAACCTCTGTCACTCCAACAAAACAAGCAAGCAAACATACGTAATAACCAGAGAACCAGTGCCCTCAAGGGGAGTTTCTAGGCCTACAAAACTCTTGAGTTGCTACACCTCCTACCCCATTACTGATACATCTAATGGACTATGCCTTTGCTTCTGTGTTTCCTTCTGGGGGCCGATAAGCTGTCTTTCTGGTACTCCAGGGCTAACCTAACTCCCAAAAGAGCCAGAGCCTAGCTCTTCTAAGTAGTTCTTCTCAGGGTTGGATTCTGCTCTTGACCCCTCACAGTCCCTAGCTAAGAAGCTGCAAAGCATGGCATATCTGCCTTTGGAAATCACTGGCACTACCCACTGGCTCTCAAAAGTGATCCCTGAGTTAGTTTCTTGCTGCTAGCCAAACTTTCTTGACTGCACATCCTGGTTCTTGTCAAATGGTGCCTAACTTTATATCTTTGTGATTCTGTCATTTCACAACCAATGAAGTGGAGTCAGTTCTCTTAATCCTGACTTTCTTGATAAGCAAGTCTCTGCCTGATCAAAGTTTGCTTCTCCACCTCAGAGGCCCATGCTGTTAAGGACCCATCTTCACAATTGCCTGAGTCACCCCAAGCTACAAGGGAAGTGCCTAACTTGTTATGTCATAGTCTTAAAAATACTGGCTCCTGTTAATATCAAGTAACATGAAATGGAAGGAAGCTGAGGTACTATTCTTGGCCAGTCTTTCAGAGATCAAAAGAAAAGTTATAAAAAAAAATCCCTCAAAACATTTTAAAATATAAAATATAATGAAAGTTATAAATATTAGACAGCATTCTCAAAAACCATCTATACCGCAAAGATGTCATGAGCGATATTGCCCTTCAGTGTTACTTTCCATACAAAAGAACATGTTGGAACCTCCAGCAGTTTTTCCCAACTATAAACACAGACAGTTCATTATAATTTGTTGTCAGATGTGCACTGCTAAGCTAAAGGTATGCAGAGCAGAGATGTTTTCTCTGCTGGTTACACCACTGGGGTAGAGGTTGGGATCTTTCATCCACCATGCTACTGTGGATAGTTTCCTAGATGTAAAGATGGGGATCAAGTTCTAAATATATTCATTCATTAAAAAAATTTTATCAAGAGCATGTTTTGTACCAGGTTCTGTTCTAAATATCAAGAATACAGAACTGGACAAAAATTTCTGTGCTTATGGAACCTGTATTCTAGCAGGAGACAGACAATAAACATAGTAAGTAAATAGTTATTATGTTATAGGGTAATAAATGCTAAGAAGAAAAATAATGAAAGCAGAGAAGGGGGCTGGAGACTTCAGTGTGTAAGGGGTTGCAATTTTGGAGAGGATGGCCAGAGAAAATCATCCCTGAAATGATGACATTTGAGCAAAGATCTGAAGGCGGTAAGGGAATGAACCTAAAGATATGAGGAGGAACAGCATTCCAGGCAGAGGGAATAGCAAGTACCAAATTCCTGAGGTATAATCACTCTTGGTGTATTCAAGGAACAGCTAGGAGGCAGGTATGATTGGAGCAGTGAGTGAAGGAGAGTGTAGGAAGAGATTAAGCCAGTGAAGTAACAGGAAACTAGACTGGATAGGGCCCAGGAAGCTCATGTGAGGATTATATTGTAGTTTTTTTCTATACTAAAATCCATTTTTCATCAATGTCATATTTTAGAATTGCTGTAGTACTCTTGCAGAGTATAGTCAAGCTCTTTTATTTATATAGATATAAAATTCCTCACCATACCTCAGGAAGGAGAAGCAAAAAGTTGGTTTAAAAAAAATGATTATATCTAAATAGGAGAATTGAATAACTGGGGAACAGGAGGAAGGAGGGAGACTTGCATCTTTCAAATCTTGTACCATGTCTATGTATTACCTAGTCAAAAAAAAGAAAAGAAAATAAATTGTCCTCACCTTTCTAGGCTCAACCTGTCTGAGTAAAGAATTTTCTCTTCAGAAGAACGTTGAAGAATAGGAAATGATGACAATGATGAGCTCACCAAATTAATATGATCACCTATTAAAAATGATATACAAATTACTTAATTAAGAAAAGCCTTCAAAGTCTTGAAACTAAAGTCACCTTATATTTGGAGAATTTTGGCACCATAAATATCTTATCTAGCAAGTATAGTTTCCATAGCTCTCCACATTTGAAATTAATTACTAAGTTGAATCTGTTTCTTTCCTTCTGAAACCTAAACTATGTGTTCCACGTATGCCAAATATTTTTTCCCTTGCCTTACAGATTGGTTAAAAGTACAGAACTACTCCAGTGCTATCTTTATCCCTTTGGAATCCTAACTCCTTGTCTTAAATTCTAACTCTCTATAACTAAAATGATTGTCCCTCATTACCAGATATATTTGGGCCAGCGCTATGACAGCCCTGCCAGATTCTGGATTTTGAAGGTATTTTTATGGAAGAATCTCCAAATGCTGACAAGGAGCTCACGGTAGTTTTCATATCCAGCCCATATAGTTCTGTCACATTTGTTGTGGATAAGATGCATAGGAAATACACAAAAAGTAGTTTTGGATAGCAGATGTAAACCTCGCATCATCTCTTTCTTTGTATGTTCAGCCACTATTAGTAGAGAATATTGCCAAGATACCAAAGTGGATGTCAGTAAATCTAGTATTCTCATAGTTAGGGTCCACAGAGTATATGACACCCCTCTAAGGTTTATAGGCTGTTTGTTAGACGGTGTGCTTGCCATTATGTAGCCTTCAATCTAACAGACTGAAATTAATAAATACACATATGAAATTCATAAATAGAACAACATACATAAATGCAGAATAAAAAGAATACCTATTTGTAAATTTGCACATAAGTGTGTCTGGTTATTTTTTACTTAATGAAGGTGGTTACAGATGGGTTTGGGGGAAGGTGAATATTAAGATATTTTCTAAAGAACTAGAAGAATGTAAATGGTCAAGAAGGAACGATGAGAAGTTCCAGAAATGAGGTAAGATTTGAGTAATGGGTCAAATGTGACAGTTTGAATGCCAGAGGAAATCTACCATATTTTCCTCTATGAAAAGAAAATCTTCTGAGCAGCAACTGATGTTGAAATGCTTAAAGGCAGCAGTAAGTATAACAGTAAAATAGAACCTGAGGTTACCACAGAATTCTGCTGTTGAAACTAACAAAAAGATCAAAACCAAATCTAGAAAGCTAACCTACTTTTTGGGAGGTCACCAGACAATGTAATGACAACTTAAAATCAAGTTCTATATAAATCATATTAAAAAGCTATAAGGCAATGGCATTTGCTAGCTTCCTCAGGTCTGGAAGGCATAAACTGAAGTATCTCAACCCTAGTTTCTTGAACAAAATATCAGTGCTCACATCCCACTT